AAGCATTTATAAAATCATTAGCAGCAAGAACACCACAGTTAATATGAAGGCTGAGGACATCAGAGCTGACTACGAATGCCAATTATTAGAAAATAGTATTTTTAGCTGGAGGTTCAGTGAATTTGGTCCAAAACACTAAAATATGGCATTAGTTTGAAGGTCTTCCTGCTATTGAACCATCCTGCTCATGATGTTCAAAATAGCAGCCCGTACAAAATGTACAGAGACACACATGCACAAACCTTTGTCCACAAATGCTTCTACTGAGCTTCTGAGTTTGGAAGGAACAGGATTCAAAGGCTCTTGTGCACTGACCCAGACACAGCAAAGGACTGCCAGGAGGACCTGTTACAGCAGCTCTGACCTTACTATTGCTCTCCTAGGGGAGTGGGAAGGAAGTGTGTGGCAGTGAGGGCACTGAGAGCCTGCCTGTCGCTCCAGCCTCACCTGGGAGCAGCTGGCAATGGTGCTGGTTGGCAAACCTATGGATGGAGCCCAGGCCACGTCTCGCACCCAGTCACTGTGAGCCTCCAGCTTCTGCTCCTCTTTCCACTGACTGTCTTCTTCCCTGAAAACACAATTATACAGTCAGAAGGGTGGCAGCAGCATTTCTCATCCCCTGCTCTGGAAGGCTTTGGCTTTGTAGCCAGACTCCTGGTTCATCCAGATAATACAAAGCACAGGTGTTCCCCAGTTCTCCAAAAATCTCTGTGGCTTTAAGTGACAAAACTCCTTGCAAGGGGGCAGAAAGCACAGGCAGAGTTTTTGTTCTCATCTTCAGTTACTGTCAGAAATCTGCTACTGCCCAAGTCACAGTGGTAACCAAAGACCATTAGAAAGCCACTCTCCAAGACAAGATGACGCAAGGCTGGCACAGACTGCACAGACCATGGGAGATACTGTGCATCACTAAGTTGTTTCCATTTCTAAAGCACTTCCTAAAAATGGGAATTCAAAGAGGGAAGCACAGACATGCTGAAAGTATTACCTGAGATACTAACAGGGACATTCAAAGCCTAGAAAGAGTGTCAGGTTTTATCTGATAACAGGGCACTTACTTCCAGATCTTGACCAGGTTGTCGCAGCCCCCCGATGCAAATCTTTTGACATAGTTTGGCTTTTGACCAGAGGGTTGTTCTATAAGGCTCCCTGGTACAACAGCAGGAGCCCAGCTGACTGCATTACATCCAATCTAGGTAATGAAAAGCATTACTATTAAAAGTTGCTTACTTTACACAAATAAAGGAATAAAGGCTGCTGACGGGGTGAAGGAAACATAGCATAGCGTCTGAGGGAGTTGGGGAATAAGCCCATCTCAGAAAATGGGAGTCCTGCACAATGCTGGATGGATATCAGATGAATAAGAAATCCAGACACAGTCTAGTCTCACTAAGGCACTTACTCAGAAAGCCTGAGGTAGGTAAGGAACTGCTTTATGGGGAAATATCATCCTAGGTGTGTGAACAGTGGAGACAGAGATAGGAACTGCACAGACACAAGGTACACACAATTGCTAAGGTTTTAGAATGCAGGAGTAGAAGGAAGCTTTGGTCTGGAGCCCAATTTCCTTCCATTGAGAGCCACACCGTTAGCTTATGAAGTTTTGCTTAAGCAAAAATCCCCACTGTTTTGGGAAAAACACGTGCCCTGCAATTTTTCTGGCTTCAGTTTATTCAGTTAGTTGGTGCAGGTATTCTTAGGACCAAGGCCATTTCCTGCCAGTTAACTTTCAGCACTGTGTTTAACAATAATCCTCAATTAACAAGCATTACAGTGCTGTTTAGTAGCCTTCGCCTGTCTTTTTTTCACTTCATTTTAGATACTACAAAGTATGCCTGCCCACTCGGGACTAACGTCAAACAAGTTATTCTTGGTTCTTGATGTTTCACATCACTTCACCGGATTTCAGTATTTATCTAGTCAAGTTCTTTGAGGCAACAATCCCCGCGGTAGCTCCTGGAACTCTGCTGCTCCAAGGCCCAGACTCACCGTGTGTGCATTGCTGATCTTTTTGACTTCCCACTGCCCGTCTCCCGTGTAGCTCAACAAGGAGATGGCCCCGTCAGAGCTGCCGCAGGCCAGGATCAGTCCATAGTCATGTGGTGCCCAGCAGACAGAATTTACTGGGAAAGAAGAGACAGAGATTACAGCACAGGGACTGCCTAACACTGACTGGTATCAGTCAGTCACCAAAAGCGAGTGGCTCTGAAAGCCGAGGATGAGTCTTGAAATTCCTGAATTTCAGCAAAGCCAGTCAATTAACACTGTTTACGGAATGACAGAGAATGGCTTTTATTTTTGGAACCCTTTTAGAATGAGAACACCAACAGAGCACTCTTAATGAGGTTAAAAAACTCTGACAACAGCGGGGAGCATCGCTGACTAAAACAAGAGCTGAATGGCAGGCAGAGGATGTAAAATCTGTATCAGTAACACAGCAAAGCTGGAGACTTCAGATCTGCATTGGCTGGACAAATCATCTGAACACAAAAGTTTCCACTGTAAAACAAAACACTGCATGATAAATTCATTTTTTCTTACTGGACACAGACAGTATTTCCCTCAAGAATTCAGTCCCCTGTCATCTTTATTTGAAAGCTGATTTCTTTGTACAACAGCTCGTGTGCAAACACTGTATGAGTCAGGACAGGAGGTTATCCAGTAATATGACCTTAGGTAAAGGTCCTGTTTGTGCTGAACAGATTTACTCTCTCTCCACTATTTATCTCTGTCTGTTTGACAGAGGGCTTCTTCCTTAACACTGACAGATTTACTCCAACCTTACCCGAATCCCCTCATTTCCCCAGATGCCCTTCCCAGCTCCAAACTCCCATACCTGAGGAATCATGTCCTGTGTATTCATAGGTCTTTTCCCAAGTACCATTTTCTTCCTTCCAGATAATAACCTTCCTGTCATAGGAACAGGAAGCCAAGATATTCCCATACATAGGATGAGCCCAGGCAACCTGCCACACCGGACCCTCGTGCCTGCAAGAAACAATGTCATGTGGAAAAGGGAAGAGAAACCCCTCCTAGTTGTGGCTGCCTCACAGCCATCACTGCTGTGAATCGTGGTTCCAGAAGGGATTGCTGGCCTGACATGAGGAATGGGTAATGCCAAGATGGCAATGTTAGTGCCCTGACACAGGGCTGTCACTGCCATAGAAAACAATTCCAAACGTTTAGCCTTGTATTAGTACATTTTATCTCTTGAAAATCACAGGTGTCAAGTACTAAATGAATGACCAAGTCCCAGTGTATTTCCCACTGGTGCTCCGTCCCCTTCCCAGATCTGAGGAGTTTTTCAGCACAACCCTGGAGGAGTCCACCCTGGTATCCACCTGCACCTTGTGCTGCCCAAGGGCAAAAGGGCAAGGTATTAAGAGCTTCCCCCAATGAAATTCTGCTGTTATGACAGCTCACCCCCTCAGGTCTGCAATGAGGATCTGCCCTCCGTTCCGGACGTCGAAGATCTTCACGGAGCGGTCGGAGGAGCAGGTCGCCAGGCGTGTGCCATAGTAATCCATCTGTGCATCGTGCTGCAGGAAGGCAGGGACAGCTGTGCTCAGCACGCTGAGCTCGGCTCGGTGACCAACCCCACTGCAGCTCAGGACTGGCACAGCTGCCCCAGGCGCAACACACTGGGGTCAAAAGGGCAGTTTTAGACAATCCAGACACACAAGTCATTTGTTTCCCCAACTGCTTCTTCACTAACTATGCAAGTGTTACACAGAAGGAATTCAGGAAATTCTGAGTACCAACACACAGCATTTTCAGGAGAGGGCTGGGAACTGGTGCTGCTGACTACAAAGCAGTGACCAGTTATGTATTCTTGTTTCTTAAAAGGTAAAGTGGGTGTATGAACACTGAGCTCTTAGTTATGTTTGAAACTTCATCATCACAGAATCACTGAGGTTGGAAAATACCTCGAGACCATCAAGTCTACCCTTTGACCAATCCTCAACTCGTCCCCCAGCCCAGAGCACTGAGCACCACGTCCGGTTGTTCCTTGGACACCTCCAGGGATGGGGACTCCACCACCTCCCTGGGCGCCTGACCACTCCTCCCGTGAAGAAATTCTTCCTGAAGAACTGGTCTCATCTAACTGGTCTCCTTCCTTCTACAAATTACTTTGAAACCTTTCCTCCTGCCCACACTAAGACATGTGCTTCCACATAAAGGAAAGTCAGTTTCCTCAGCCGAAGTTGGGTACCATTTAGAATACACTTACACATATATTATTTCACAGAAACAAGCCTGTGCATGAAAATTAAGGTTTCAAATCATTTCTCCTTTCCCGCGTAGCTGAGTCTTCCTGTCCACCCAGTATAGAATGGCAGGATCAGGATTTCGGACAGCGTTCTGCATCCAACACCGCACGAGTGTCCTCTCACACGGCACACACATCCCAGCCTCCCCCCTCCCACAGAGCGCCCCAGAGCAGCTCTGTTCCAGCCGGAACCGGCCCGGGGGGCAGCTCCCCCCGCACACTTACGATCATGTCCTCGTGGGACGTGTCCACGGTGTTGATGACCGAGACCTGCAGAGAGAGGGAGCAGAAGGAGCTGAGCGCATCATCCCTCGGCCGCGGCCCCCGGAGCTCCCGGGCCGGCCCCGGCCGCCCCTCGGCGGGCAGCGGCCGCGCCCGGTTGCGCTGGGGCCGCGCCCCGGGACACCGCCGGTTCCACGCCGGGCCGCCCCCACCCTCCTGCTCCGGCCCGCCCGGCCCTGACCCCGGGCCGGTCCCCGCCGTCCCCCCGCACCATGGCGGCCCCGCCGTCCCCGCCGTCCCCCCGCACCATGGCGGCCCCGCCGTCCCCGCCGTCCCCCCGCACCATGGCGGCCCCGCCGTCCCCCCGCACCATGGCGGCCCCGCCGTCCCGACCCGGCCTCTGCCCGCCTCAGACGTGGCACGGCGGTGCCTCGCACAACCGCTCCCGCCGCGCCCCGCCCGCCTGCGACGGCGTTCCGGCTGCGCCGGGTTCCGGGGGCGGGCGGTGCCTTCGCCGGGCAGGGGGCGGGCGGTGGGAGCGGGGGCGGCCCGGCCCTGCCCCGTCCTGCTCCGTTCTGCCCTGCCCGGCCCAGCCCAGCGCTGCCCCGGCCCCCCCGAGCCCAGCCCGCCGAGCGGGCAGAGGCACCGCCTGGCCCGGGCCCGTCCCGCCGGCCCGTCCCGCCGCCTCGGGGGCTCCCTGCGCGGAGCCGCCCCGGCCCCTCGCCATGGCCAGCGTCTCCTACCACATCTCCAGCCTGCTGGAGAAGATGACCTCCACCGACAAGGACTTCAGGTGCGGCAGCAGGGTCGTGCCCCGCGGGGATGGGCGGCTTCCCCCGGAGGGGTCCCTTCCCCGCGCCGGGCGCAGGCACGGTGCCCCCGACCCGCCGGTGTGGGGATGCTTCTGTGTCAGAGCCTTTGATCGCTTGTGTTTGCGGTGTCTCAACCCAGCTGAGCCCTGGCTGAGAGGGGAATGTAGAGAAGGCAACGGCGCTCCCTGCCCCTGCTGGGCTGCTGCCTGATGGAAGTCGAAGGGAGAATGAAAGTCTTGACAGCTGGACTTTTAAGTTGTTACTTATTTTGTGTAGCACAAATGCTGAGATACTTCTAGTTTGCTTTTCCTCTAGGTGACATGGTCAGTGCATTAAAAGGGCTGAGAGACCCCGGTTTGGGCAGCTCTGTCCCTGGGTGACAGATGCTGCTGGCCATGCTCGGGCTGCTTTATCAACTATTTCTGTGTGATGGGAAAATGTGCCTCCCTAACAGGACTAAGATGCTTTTGTTCTCTTTGTTTATGTCAGCAGAAAAGTTGACAACTTTTAGGGTTGGGGCCAGTGGCTCGATGTGTAAGGCACTCTATAAAAAGTAATGAAAACTAACATTTATGAAAGATTTCATCACTGAGTATATTGTTCTCAGGACCAATCTGGAAGGTGATGTTTGTGCCAGCCTTGGTATTTTGAGGTATAAAAGAGAGAGATTAGTAAGAGCCTAAAAGTAGGCTGCTGATGTTTTCATATGTTAAAATAGGTACTTTATAAAGAATTCAGCGATGGTGTAGTTGTACAAACAGTTTGTTCAAAGAACTTACAGTTAACACTCCAAACTAGATGTGCTCCACACACGTCATGTCACAGAGGTATTGCAGGGCCGTTTCCTCCCAGCACATGGCCAGACATGACCCATTGTAGGAGCAGTTTTCTCTTGCTCCCCCTGCACAGATGGATCTGTGTGGGAGATTCTGAGGTCCCGGGGCAGGATGGCAGCAGGCAGCAAGTCCAGAGCTGGCCATGTTGCCATGGAAGGCTCAGCTCAGCCTGTGGCCATAATTGGTCATGCTGGGTGTGCGCAGACAGTGAACTGCGAGTGCAGCTGAAGAGCTCTTGCAGGATCAGAAATAGATTGCACATTGGGAATGTCTTCAGGCACAGTCCCGCTGCTTTCCCACCCCAGGTTCCAGGCTGGCTTTGGAACACCACAGCAGTCCTTCGTCCCAGATGCACCTCATTGCTGCTCAGGAATGGGCTTACGGATTGAAGCTCCAAATGTTGCCTTGCACATGAGAGCTCTTATGTGCTGAAGGAGGGGCATCAGAGCCTAATTGTAAAAGGAGGTGTCATTTTGTAAGGAAAGGGAATGGCTCTGTGGATCCTGTTAGACATCCATCCCATGCAGGGCTGACATTAGAAAGCAGCTAATACATGATAGCCACGCTGAGATTTCTCAGATCTTCACACTCCTATACCAGCAACTTTTGCATTTCCTGCTCCCAAGAAAATGGATACTTTACAGAATTTCTTAATATCCATTTTGTCATTGTCCCTGTCAGAAAACTGACTAACAGTCAGCTGGGTGTTTGTTTTTCCTTCTAAGCTGGAGTGATAACTACTTGCTTGGTTTTGCTCACAGCAATCTAAATATAGCCTAGGGCACTTCTGAGGTGTAGTTTGCATGGAGTCGTGACTTTATTTTTCATTTTTGAGCATGGTAGGCCTTCTCCATGTGTGGGGTCCTACTATCAGTGGTAAATTAGCCAGAAAGAACAAAGCCAGGTATGTTCTTAGACCCCAGAACTGCTTTTCTTAGGCCAGGCAATTGATGAAAAAACCCACCGTGATTTTTTCTGGCATAATTAACCATCTTCATTTAGTTACTGAGAAAAATACACAAGTCGTGTGCCACTTTAAGAGTTTTTGTTTGCCTGACCCCTGTTAGGTATATATCTACTTGTAAGACAATAGTAATTCTCTGTACCTTGCTTTTTAGGACAGTGTGAAGAGTGGTAAGTTACTCTTTGACAGTGTGTTTTCATACAAGCACCAATTGCCAACTTCTGTTGTCCCAGGAGATGCAAAGATGATGCCTTTGTGTCTGCACATCAGCCAGTCCACTTTTGTCCTTTGTCCTTTCAGATTTATGGCCACCAACGACCTGATGATAGAACTGCAGAAAGATTCAATAAAACTAGATGAAGACAGCGAGAAAAAAGTTGTGAAAATGCTTTTGAAATTGCTGGAGGACAAAAATGGGGAAGTACAGAACCTTGCTGTCAAGTGGTAAGAGCCTGGGCAGTAACTGCCATGGTTCCTGGCACTAATAAAGCCATTACAGACTACAGAGTATGTGAGAGCAGAGCCTGGCCCTGGGCACTCCCTCAAACCTCCCTTGCAAGGGGCTTTGCCCTCTCACAGGGCACTGCACTTTCTGTCTTGATACTCACAAGGCGTGAACACAGATACCTTTGTAGCAGCAGGAGGTGATTTTGAAATTAGTTCAGTGTTTGTATTATGAACCTTACCATGAAAAGTGATATCCCTAAGATTTTTCTTCCTCAGAGATAAGCCCAGTTTAAAATGTTGATCATCAAGCTCCTGGTGTCTCTTGGGCTTTGAAATCCCATTCTGAGTTTCCCCATGGTTCTCTCTTTGATAGGGATGGTACTAAACCCTTATGGCATTTCAATTTCAGGTCTGAATCCTCCTCTTCAAGGGCATTTTTCCTTACAGTTTGTAATACACTTGGGTTTTTCCCTGCCTTGACTCCGAGTGCAGCCTGTGCTGTTGCTTTGCCCTGCTCTGTTTCAATATTTTTTTAATCCAAATGAACAAAAGTCCCTCTATTAGTGAATCCTCAGATGAAGGGATCCTGCTGCTGCCATTTTCTTTCCTATCTCTTTCCCCAGCATGGCTGAGAGTGTTCAGTCTAAAAATGCCATGGAATGGCTCAGTTCACCCCAGGGCTCTAGAAAGGTGGGCCATTTAAAGACAAATTTAGGTTTCTCTGTTTTTCCTTCTGTGGATCCTATTTGTATTCCCTTCTTTTTAACCACATGCTGTTTCTATCTCTATCCTTTCTCTGTAACCCTTAGCCCTTTCTTTTTGATTCCCACGGTCCTGACATTTTCTGGCCCTGCTCCTGTCTCTGCCTGCTTTGGGCTGGCTTATTCTGATTTTCAAAGTGAAACAGTTGGGCACTGAGCAGAGGACCGACTTCTTAGCCTGTTTATCTCTGATTGTATCAGCAGTAAGTCCATACTCACTGTGATCTCTCATCCATCCAGAATGTGATCATGAAGAGGCCTCAAAATGGAACCAGGAATATTTCCTTTCCATGCTTAAGGAGGTACTTACAGCAGTTAACGTCCAGTCAGTCATTCTCAGGCAGGTGGCCAGGATCTCTAAGAAGGAGAAATGTGATGGTTTGAAGGACACAGGCATTTGGATCAGGCCCTTCATCCTGACTGGCTTCTCCTCCCGCAGCCTGGGCCCGCTGGTTGGCAAAGTGAAGGAGTACCAGGTGGAGACCATCGTGGACACACTGTGTACAAACATGCTGTCAGACAAGGAGCAGCTGCGGGACATCTCCAGCATTGGCCTCAAAACCGTCATCTCTGAGCTGCCACCAGCTTCCACAGGTACACTGCCTGTCCCTGCTGGAGGAACAGGGAATCCCAGCTTTGGGAAACGGGAAAATGTGGAGTTCAGAGCATAAAAGTTACCAATTCCTTACTTACCTGCCAGAGGACAACTAGTGAAATACAGAGGAGAGACAGTAGAAGCTGAGGTACCAATGTGATGAAAGATGGGATGAAATGAAAACTTGAGCAGTGTTTGGAACTACTTATCCCAAAACCACAGCAGGGGATACCTGAGGTTCCTGGGGACAGGAGTTTCCTCTGCAGCCATCTCATGTATCTGTCCTGATAGGTCTCCTAGGGGAGGATTTCTTTTTTCAATGTAGGAGGCATTGAATGGTTCCCAGCAGCAAAAAGTCTCCTTTTTAACTGATAGCAGCGTAAAATCTCTCTCTTGCAGGCTCCACCATGACAGCAAATGTGTGCAAAAAGATCACAGTCCAGCTGACGGGAGCCATTGGCAAGCAGGAGGATGTGTCTGTGCAGCTGGAAGCTCTTGACATCCTGTCAGATATGCTGAGCAGGTACCAGAGCATTTCCTTCTGGAGCTGTGCATAGCAGGGGGCTGCAGGGATGTGTCTGCTTTTGATTTCTTTATTTCCCTAATCCTACTACTGGGACTTAAAAACACACTATTTGGGTTGGCTGCCCCTGGGGAATATCTTAGCAGAGCAGGTCCCCAGTGGGGACAAGAGACAACATGCTGAGCCTTTCTGTGCTTGGGAATGGCAGTGCCACTGGTGATGGATCCCACAGGGGCTCACCTCACACAAACACGGGAGGGCGAGGGCAAAGCAGGGAGGTTTATTTTAGCCCTGTGATCCGATCACACATGCATTTTTTTTCCTGGCTGCCTCTCTTTCTCTTGTTGCATAAGTCAGAGTGACAGTGTCATATGTCATCTGCATGCAGGAAATTATTGACAAACCTCCAGGTCATCCAGAAGGACACATCAAAAACCCCTCCGTCATGGAGACAAATAGCCTCTCCCTGTGCTTTACAGAACAAGTCAATGTTCAGACCAAAATGCAAACCCCAGCCTTCTCCCCCTCCCCACAATGAGCACGAAGTCTCCGTAGCTGAAGGCTTTTTCTCTGAGGCTTGGACTTTCAACTTTTCCTTTGTTCTGTTGATTGCAGACTGGGGGGAACACTCTACTCATTCCATTCCTCAATCCTGACCTGTCTCCTGCCCCAGCTGACGAGCCCCAGGTTGGCAGTACGTAAACGGGCCATCACTGCCTTGGGGCATCTAGTCTTGACCTGCAGTGGAAACATCTTCTCAGAGCTCACAGAGCATCTGCTGGCTGAGCTGAAGAGGAATGAGTCTACATCTACCACCAGGACATACATTCAGTGTGTGGCTGGCATCAGCAGGCAGGCTGGGCACCGCATAGGTATGGTGAGCAGCTTGAAATGGCACTGGGAAATGTACGTGCATTTTAGAGCAGCTCCTCTTGGTGGTAAAAGAAGAGTGCTCACTGTTCCTAAAGTATTGGTGGCTTGTGCTTTGCAATTCCCTCCGTGATCCTGGCCTGGCTCTCTGATCTCCTCTTGGAAGGGAGGAGACACCAGAGTATCTCTCTGGCTGCCCTTCTGTAGCAACTTCACCTCAAGATCTTGCAGTGCTTCCTTGGTCTGAATTAACACCTCTGTGAATTAGGTCAGTTGATTCACCCCATTTTAAATGAGAGGAGAAATGGAGGGCAGCATACTGTATTACTTGCCTAAAAGATCTGTCTAAAAGAGCTGAGATCAGGTTCTAGAAGATCTCTAATCACAGCTCTTCCCATGACTGAAAAGCCAACAAGGGGCTGCAGACAGGGAGCAGTGGTTAGCTTATGAAGATCAGCATGGCTGGTTTTGGTGGGCTGCTGGCTCCTTGCCCATGAGGTCCAGGCCAGGAAGGAAGGAAGTGGCAGGTGGAGGAGCTGTCAGCTGCTTGGGTGAGTGAAGGTTGGAATGGTTTTTCACTGCTGCTTGCTTTGTCTTTCCCAGGAGAACACCTGGAGAGGATCGTCCCTCTGATCGTTCAGTACTGTGACGTGGACGATGACGAGCTGCGGGAGTACTGCTTCCAGGCCTTCGAGTCCTTCGTGCGGAGGTGTGTGCCCTCGGGGACACACCGCCCATCCAGTGCAGCCGTGTCCTCGCGGGGAAATACCGATCCTTTCAGCAGGAGGGGAGGGCCTTGCTGCATGTGTTCCTGTGGGAGTGACAGCTCATGTATGAAATCTCTTCTGCACAGGCAGGGTTGGGCTGGAGTTATGAGCTGCTTTACCTCAACATGTGAGGGTGTCCTTCTGTATTGGTTTTGCAGGAGTGGGAGTTTCCTTTGTCCTTGGAGGGTTCCTCAGCCAGAGGGAACTGCCTCACTCCTGGTCCGTGGAGGGAGCTGGAGGCAGGAAGGAGGCTCAGGCAGAAGAGCTGCTGAGCTGCAGCTCTCCAGCTGTTTGGTCAAACATTTACTGCTTGGAAAAGGAGCCCTGCAGAGCTGCTGAGGTGTTCTTCCAGGAAGGGAGGATTCAACCAGGGGGTGAAGGCAATTGATTTATTTTTCCTTATAGAAATCATTGCATCCTCCCAAGGAGAATGTGGCTTTGCTTTGTGCACAGCAGGAAGGACATCTCTGGTTTAACTCATGTTAACAAAATGTTCAAATGGTCTATGAAGCACTTTCAGATCCTTTTGAGATTAATTGTATTATTTGGGTATTTAAACCAGCTTAGTCTTTGATTAACTCTTAAGATTTTTATTTGTCCTGATAGATGCCCAAAGGAAATCGACTCTCACATCCCGAGTGTGATGGGGCTGTGTCTGAAGTACATCACCTTTGACCCAAACTACAACTATGATAATGAGGAGGAAGAGGAAGAGATGATGGAAACTGAAAATGGAGAGGATGAAGAGCAAGGTGCCTGCTTGTGAGGATGGCTGTGCTCAGCAGAACACAGGGTTAACATTTCTCCCCTTCCTGCTTTCTCCTGCTGGAGAGGGCAGCTCTGAGGATCAAGTGATCCTCTAGCTCTGGTTTTATCATAATGGTGCACCTTGTTTTCCACTGTGTTGTTCCTAGAAAGCGATGATGAGTACAGTGACGATGACGACATCAGCTGGAAGGTCCGAAGGGCTGCGGCCAAGTGCCTGGAGGCCGTTGTCAGCAGCAGGCACGATCTCCTGCAGGACTTTTACAGAACTCTTTCCCCAGCCTTGATAAGCAGGTTCAAAGAGAGGGAGGAGAATGTCAAAGCTGACATCTTCAGTGCTTACATCTCCTTGCTGAAGCAAACGCTGCCCACCCAGAGCTGGCTGCACGCTTCCGATGCCTCTGGCAAGGGTGACGTTCCCCTGACGATGCTTCGGAACCAGGTGTGTGAGCAGGTGACGGCTGAGTTAAATCACAAAGCACTGAGGACAAGCAGCCACTGATGATTGTGCCAAGAGCAATCCTGAGAATGTGGCTAATGGAAGGAGCCCTGGGGCAGGCAGCCAGGGGAGACCAGATCCAGGGGGCTGGCTGTTTACTGTCTGTCTCCTGCTGTTCCCGGGGAGAGAGTGCTGAGGGAGTGCAGGAGCAGGGGGGCACAGCTGGCACTGTCCCTCTGCCAGCTGCTGGCATCTGTGTCCAGGCTGAGGCAGGTTGGTCTCTGGCTGAAGGGTCAGGCTGCTGCTTTACTGTTATTGCAGCTGCTGCTCAGGAAACTCATTGAATAAACTGTTGTAGAAATGCACCAGAGTGAGTCCTGGAGAGCAGTTAGGATGACTGAGGTGTCCCTTTGTCCCTTGCTTCTTCAAACTGCAGGTCCCCAACATTGTCAAGGCCTTGCACAAGCAGCTCAAAGAAAAGAGCATCAAATCAAGACAGGGTTGTTTCAGCCTCCTGACAGAACTGGCCAATGTTCTTCCTGGTTGCCTGGCAGATCACATCCCTGCACTCGTCCCTGGTAAGCTTGTCTATGGTCTGGGAAGAAGGAGCAGGGTTGGCAAAATCCATTCCAAACACATGTGCTCCTTGTGGATATGCTGAACAGCTCCCAGACTAATCCTGGCTTCTGTCTGCACTGTAAGCCAGGATAAGAACATCAGGTTCATTTCCAGTCCCCTGAATAGATGTTTTTGGGAGTGCCTATTCCAGCCTCCTTTGAAAGCAGCTGGAATGAGATCAGAAACACAAGTGACATTTTCTTTTATAAAATCCAGTGGCATTTAAAAAAATTCTTTATGTTGGCTGATTATTGAATTTGCAGCAGCAACATTTTTGTCTGAGCTCTCCTGCCTGTGGGCTCATGAAGCATCCCACTGCTGGAGGGCTCAGGTCCTGCCTTCATTTTTGGTGTGACTGTACAGTGGATATGAGAAAAGTCTCCTGTGACTGTCCCTGGCTGGATCCATGCACCTCCCTCTTTAGGAAAAACACATCAGTCCTGTTGTCTCCTTTGCACAGGTATTGTTTTCTCCTTGGCGGATAAATCCAGCTCCTCCAACATGCGGATCGACACGCTGTCCTTCCTCCACGTCCTTCTCTGCAACCACCAGCCGGAGGTGTTTCACCCTCATATCAAGAGCCTGTTGCCCCCTGTTGTGACCTGCATTGGAGACCCGTTTTATAAGATCATGTCAGAAGCTCTGCTGGTAACTCAGCAGCTTGTGAAAGTTATCAGGCCTTTGGACAAATCTTGCACTTTTGATGCCAAGCCCTATGTGAAGGACCTTTTCTCTGGTACTCTGAAGCGGCTGAAGGCTGCTGACATCGACCAGGAGGTGAAGGAACGTGCCATCTCCTGCATGGGACAAATCATTTACAACCTGGGAGACCATTTAAGCACTGATCTCCAGCCAACTTTGAAGATATTTCTGGAGAGGCTCAAAAATGAAATCACCAGACTGACAACAGTCAAAGCATTAACCTTAATTGCTAGTTCTCCACTTAAAATAGATTTGAGACCCATTCTAGGGGAAGGTATCCCCATTCTAGCTTCCTTCTTGAGAAAGAATCAACGTGCCTTGAAACTGAGCACTTTGACTGCTCTGGACATCCTGGTGAAGAACTACAGCGACAGCCTCAAGCCTGCCATGATCGAGTCTGTGCTAACAGAGCTCCCCGCCTTAATTACTGAGAATGACATGCACGTGTCCCAGGTGGCCATCATGTTCCTCACGACTTTGGCAAAGGTTTATCCATCCTGCATCTCCAAGATCAGCGGCTCAGTCCTCGCTGAAATCTTTCAGCTTGTCCACTCACCTTTGCTTCAAGGAGGGGCTCTGAATGCCATCATCGCCTTCTTCCAGGCACTGGTCCTGACGAAGGCAGCCAGCACGGGTTACCCCGAGCTGATGAAGCAGCTGACAGCACCCGTTTACTCCTCGGGTTCGGCCGGGGCCTCGCTGACGTTGCACAAACAGGCGTATCACTCCGTCGCAAAGTGCGTGGCAGCGCTGTCCTCGGCCTGCCCGAAGGAGGCCCCTGTGACAGTGAACCAGTTTGTTCAGGATGTGAAAAGCCCCAAGTCCAGTCCTGCTGTTCAAGTGCTGGCTTTCCTCTCCCTGGCAGAGATGGGCCGTACCACAAACCTCAGTGCTCACAGGGAGCTCAGAACTGTCATCCTGGAAGCGTTTGCTTCCACCAGTGAAGAGGTGAAATCCGCTGCCTCCTACGCGCTGGGGAACGTCAGCGTTGGGAATCTGAAGGAGTATCTGCCCTTCATGCTGAAGGAGATCGGAAGCCAGCCCAAGCGACAGTACCTGCTGCTGCACTCCCTGAAGGAAGTCATCAGCTCCTCCCCGGCCGACAGCCTCACGCCTTACGTGGAGGATATCTGGGCTCTGCTCTTCAAGCACTGCGAGTGCACAGAGGAAGGGACACGCAACGTGGTGGCAGAATGCCTGGGGAAGTTGACCTTGGTGAACCCTGCTGAGCTGCTGCCCCGGCTGAGGAAACAGCTGTCAGCAGGTAACGGGGATGGCGATGGCCAGAGGGGGGAAATGCTGCCATTGCTGGAAATTCCTCTTGTAAACTGCTGGTGGGTACAACAGGGGGCAAAGCCAGCCAGAGAGGCGAGCAGGAAATGAAGGATCTCTGCAGGGGGGATCAGACGTGCACTGGTCTGCACAGGGACAGGAGGGTCTTGGGAACAGGGACTGCATGTGGAGATTGTGCAGGAGCAGATTTAAACACAGAGTTAAGACAAATGCTCTGTTCTCTTAACCTCTTCAACGTGTGTGTAACCCGACTAAGAGCAGAATATGTGCTGCAGAGTTACAGCAGTGACTTTGTCAGTTGGTCTTTCACTGTTTTTCTTCCCCCCTTCATCGCAGGCTCTCCACATGCCCGGAGCACCGTGGTCACTGCCATCAAGTTCACAATTGCAGACCAGCCTCAGCCCATTGATGCTCTCCTGAAAGGCTGCATAGGTAGGGTGGTGTGGACAGCAGTGTGAGCAGTGTGAGGCGGGGGTGTGAAAGGCTGGGCATCGTTAGCAGCTCGGGGATTTTTCACTCCTGTGTGAACCTCATCTAGTCCAGTTAGTTTTGATCTGTATTCCTCTGCTTTTGAGATGACAGAGCAACACTGTCTTGTGAGTCCTTGTTAAATGCTCTGATGCCTTGCTCTTGGGCATAGTGCATTGTTTTTTAGGGAGCTTAAGTTCCTTCTGTATTTAAACTCAGACTTCAAGCTCCTCACAACAAGGATCTTGAAAAGTACAACCTATATGGAAAGGGTCTTATATCTAGGGAGCCCACACATTGGATCTACTGTATAGAACTGGGCCTTCTGTTTCAGAGAAGATCTGAGCAAGAAGGAAACCAAAAACCAACTTCCTTGAATACTAAAGGTGCTGATTTGACTTTAGGGTGAGGTAGCTAGAAACACAGTTTGGTTTTATGCCCAAATGCAGGATAGTCATGTTTTTTCTATTTACTGTATCCCAAACGGAGGGAGGGAAAGCATCTCCAATGGCTCTGTTAAGAGTGTGCCACTGGAGTTATTTTACCATGGGTGCTTCCATAACCAGCCTTCTTGAAATATACCCTGATATACTTTCAAAAGCCTTTAAAAACACTGCAGCAGGACTGACTGGTACATTCTTACTCCACAGGTGACTTCTTACAAACTCTGCAAGATCCAGACCTGAACGTTCGCCGCGTGGCTTTAGCCCTGTTTAATTCTGCTGCTCACAACAAACCTTCTTTAATCCGGGATTTACTGAACATGGTCCTGCCCAGCCTGTACAGCGAAACGAAGGTCCGAAGGGAGCTCATCCGGGAGGTAGGTCCAAAGGGAGCTCACCCATGAGGTGAATGGGCTTGGCTGGGTGCCACACACGGTGACTTGCTTCCTGTGTAGGTGAGATGGAGCTGTTGCCCTGTCTGCTCTTAGGTCACACCGCTGTTGTTTGTCTTGGTTAAGGTAGAAATGGGGCCATTCAAGCACACAGTGGACGATGGCCTTGATGTGAGGAAAGCTGCTTTTGAGTGCATGTACACCCTGCTGGAAAGCTGCCTGGACCAGCTGGACATCTACGAGTACCTGAACCATGTGGAGGATGGGCTAAAGGATCACTATGATATTCGGGTCAGTGCTGTGCCCTAACTAATGTAATTTTCTCTGGGGGCCTGGCCTGCAACTGAGCTGTGTGTCCCCACAGCAGTGTGCCCCTGCCATGCCATTTTCTATTCCCTGCAACTGCTGCAGCCTTTCATGATTGTCTGGCTCTGATTTGACCGTAGTGGCCTTGACAAGACACCCCTGGTGTAGCTGGCTTTGTAGGAAATGTACCAAAGTCTAAAGTTTCTTCTGCCTTTAAACGGATGATTGTCATTTGTTCAGAGGGACCAGTGACACTATATTGGCTGCTGGCCTCACATCTGGATAGGAAGCACGACATCCTTTTCCAATGTGATTTGCTTTACCCCAGCTCAGAGGCAGGCACAGCCCCATGCTGAGCGGTGCCGTTTGTCCCCATGGCCCTGTGCAGACACCTGTAGCACTGCACACACCAGGCCCAGCTGCGGCTCCGGCCTGCTGGCTGCCAGGGCTGCATTTCCAGTATCACCAAAGCTCTGCCCCAAGCCCCTGGCACAAGTGCAGAGGAGCACACGACAGTGTGGGTACAGCCTGGCCTGTCAGCAGGGTGGGCCCAGCTCTGAGCCCGCGGGCTGCAGTGAACCAACCCGTGTCTCTCCCGTCCTGCCCAGATGCTGACGTTCATCATGCTGGCGCGGCTCTCCGTGCTCTGCCCCAGCGCTGTCCTGCAGCGGCTCGAGCGCCTGATCGAGCCCCTCCGGGCAACCTGCTCCACCAAGGTAAGAGCTGGAACATGCAAGGGGCTGGGGCAGGTCCTGCCCAAAGCCACCTCTGCTCCCAGCCTTCTCCCTCACTGCTGCTGAGCCACCCACTCCCCTCATTTCCCCAGCTGTAAAATATTCTGCTGGTCTCTGCTGCCGTGTTGGTTCTGCGCCTGAACCAGCTTTTCTAAATGCCAACTGCAAACAGGGCTTTGGATTTGCAGGTGAAAGCAGGTTCAGTGAAGCAGGAGTTTGAGAAGCAGGATGAGCTGAAGCGCTCAGCCATGAGGGCAGTGGCTGCTCTCCTGACCATCCCCGAGGTGGAGAAAAGTCCAGTGATGGCAGAGTTTTCATCCCAGATCAGATCCAGTCCTGAAATGGCATCACTGTTTGAGAGCATTCAGAAAGATTCTGCTTCCCTCTCCATCTCAGAGTCAATGGACATGAGCTAAGATGTGTTTCCCCCATTGCCCTCCTGCCCTTGCAATGCCCCAGCCAGAGACACCAGCTGGGTCGGGGGGGAACGAAGGCCATTGAGCCACTCCTGCCACAGCCATGTGCAAGTCCCTGGGCAGCCACAGGAGAAACTGCCTGGAACCAGCGGCACTTGCATTAGACACCTCATGGATCAGGGGAACACATCCTCATGTAGGGGAGGGGCTGAAAGATGAGCAGTCCCACTTCTCAGCAAGTTTTAAGGGGTACACAAAGCAACTGCAATTGAGTGTGGTTCCATGAACAATGGAAACTACTTCCTGATATATTCCTTGCTGCAGTACAAAAAAATATAGCTTTAAATGGTTTTTTAATGACTGCACATGCACTTTCTACCCCAAATTGCCCAAGAATGTATTTACAGTGTTTCCCTAAATAACATGACTAAAAACTGAAGTCATGTCTTTAGTGATGAGCACCACTCCCACAGGCCTTTTGGGAAAGGAGACTTGCCCCAGCCAAGCTGCGGGAGCTGCATGGGGCAGGGGGGTTACCTAGCCCCCCAGGCTTCTTCCTGGGGCTCCATAGTTTGGCATTTGGGCAATACAAAGCTTTCTAGCTTGGCTTCCGTTTTTACAGTTTTGACTGCAAAATACCTCAAGTGTCTCCTCCAAGGGATGATTAGTGACTATCTCAGTGACAAACCCTGCTCTAAGCTCTGCTGTGCACCAACGCTGGCTTCTTCTCCCCTTGGAGCACCTCGGTGTTGTCACCAGTCATGAGGGCACCAACCTACTGATCCTGGTCACAGATCAGCAGGAGGCACCTATAGGAGCGCTGGTGGTCTGTGTTAATGTCAAAGGGGTGAGAGGTGGCAGGCAGGAGCCAGAGGTGCAAACACGCAATCCACAATGGCTGCTGTGCTCAAATCCTGCTTTGTGCAGGAGAAAATGCCTTAAGGGACAGAGAATGTTAACAGCCAACTAGAGGACAAGGCCACCAAGACACACTGGGGCTGTGGCCATGGACCTGCCCTACGCTTCCTTTTCTCCTCTTCTGACAGGATGGTTGATGTGAAAGTATTTACAGTGCTGTGTGAAAGGACAGCTATTGTCTGAATGGTATAAAAATAAAATACACTTGTGAAGCTGCACGCCCTGAGTTCACTGACCGTCACCCTGACACTGCACCTCGCTGTGCGAGTGCCCCGAGACAGCCAGGCCGGGGCTGCTGCCCCTGCTCTGCCCACACAAAACAGCACCCGAGTTGGACTGACACTTTATTAAATACACCTGGGCTGCAGAGCCTGGTTACTCGTTCTCCTCGCTGCGCAGTCTGGCGTTGGGGTTGGTGATCTTGATGGCGAGCTGTGCTGCTCTCTCCACGATCACCTTCCTGTTCTTGGAGGACACGTTGTGGGCTATCTCTGCACAGTACGACCTGTCAGAGACAGATGGCATGTCAGGTTCAGCTCCAGCAGAGCTGAGAGCCAAGGCAAAACCCTCTGGTTCTGTCCCACCACAGCAAAGCCCCCCAGAGACATCCCGCTGGCACTGCTTGGACGCAGCCAAGCACAGGGGCATCGATGCACAGGAACTGAACCACGCAATTTCCACCCCTTGACCCAACCTGACCTGCCTGGCCTGAAGCAGAAGCTCCACTACAGAACACAGCCCTCCTTGCAAATGACTGAGTCCCAGACAGCTGTTAATGGTGTTGCTTACTGCTCTTATTGCTTTGTAGTGAAAGCAGCAACAGAAGCAGACTCACTCCTAGGTCTGACCTGGAGCCCCAGTTCTGACCATGGTCACCAGTGACATACCACAGCCCTGTTCACCATTGTTATGTCTATTTTTACCAGGGGTATGAGTTTTACAGCCCTAAGGCCCCTCTGTGCACCCACACCAGCAGCACTGAGGAAACCACAATGGCATCTGTGCTCTTGAAAGCAACAACCTCCCTTGTGTCACCCCGACTGCTCTGCCTCTCCCAGGTGGGAACACACAGGCCCCACACACTCACTTGTTGCTCATCATCAGCACTTCCAACTCTTTGACATTGTGGACCAGGAACTTTCTGAATCCTGTAGGCAGCATGTGCTTTGTCTTCTTATTGCTGCCGTAGCCAATATTGGGCATCAGGATCTGCCCCTTGAAGCGCCGGCGCACTCTGTTGTCGATGCCCCTCGGTTTGCGCCAGTTGCGCTGCAGAAATGCACAGATCACTTACACAACGAGATCAGCCTGAACACCCCCACCCGAGCGCTAACACCCTTGCCTGCCCCGAGGCACTGGCTCCAGCCAAGAGCGGCCCCCGCAGGCCCTCACTGCCCGGCTGCTGCTGCCCTGCTGCGCTTCCCTTCACCACCATCCCAAAGGCACCCCCGCAGTTCTCGGGGACTGGTAGCGACTGCTCACCTTGATCTTGACATAGCGGTCGGACTGGTGCCGGATGAACTTCTTGGTCCTCTTCTTGACGATCTTGGGTTTCACGAGAGGCCTGAGGGCAGGCATGGTGGCTGCGGGACACAGAGCGGGGTGAGCGGGGGGCGCGGCCGGGCGCGTCGCGGCTCCCCGTGCAGCGCGTGTCGCAGACTGTCTTCCCCCGCGGGCCACGCCGGGCCGGCGAGGGAATGGGTCTTCATCTGCTGTGGCTATGCCTCCCGCCTCCGAAGCTGGCAGAGCACTGGGAGCTCTCCAGATGCGATCCTGGGAGGTGTCGCGGTGTCATCGTCCCCCCCGATGGCCCTGACTGGAGCCCGGCGCCGAGCACCGAAGCCAGACGGGCGAGGGCTGCTCGTGTAGAACAGCGACCGACACCCGCTGGCGCCGAACGCGCCGGGCCCGGCCCAAAGGCTCGGCCGGGCCCGTGACCGAGCGCCGAGGGTGCCCCGCTGCCCGGGCAGGGCTGCGGGTCAGGCCTCAGGCAGGCAAAGTCCCGGCCCTGCGGGGGCCGGTTCCCGCGCCCCGGGGAAAGGTGAAGCGGAGGGAAGGGGAGGGGGCGGGCGGTCCGTGCCGTAAGCCCCGGGCTGGTTGGGTCCCGGCTGGCCTCGGATGGTCCCAGCTGGCCCCGGATGGCCGCGGATGCTCAACCCGCACTCACCGGTGCCGATGGCGCGTCCGCCGTGGGCCCCGCCGAGAGAGGGAGGAGCCTCACGCGCAGCGGCTTATGGGATACGCGGGAGGTCCTGGCAGCTGCGTGACGGGCCAAGGCCGCGCGGAGCGGGCACCGGGCACCGGCGGGGCCCAGACCGCCGCCGAGAGTTGGAACCGGGCAGGCTCTGTCCGGAGGGAATGCCTCAAAAGAGCAGATCGGCGCTTCCCGCCTGTGGCCCCGAACAACGTTCTCGGTACGAGGCTGCCAGGGCCTGCTGACGTCACTTCCATCAGGCAGCGCCTGGGCCCTGCTTCCGCCAGTCCAGCCGGGCGGGCGCCCCCTGGCGGTGCGGCGGTCCCCGTCCCGATCGCGGTCCCGGTCCGGCAGCTCCACTCCGGGCCCTCTCACCGCCGCCACAGACGGCTGGACCGCGCTGCTGTCGCCGGGCTCAACACACCCAAAGCAAGCGGCCCAGCCCCGGGGTTCGACGCCCCAGTTCTGCCGCTGCCCGGGCACCGGGAGCAGCGAGGGCGGGGGCTGTGACGGCCCCGAGGGGCTGCATCTCTCCCGGCCGGAGCGGGGGTCGGTGCCCCCCGGGCCCGTCGCGGAGCTGGTCCCAGGCAGCACCTGGGGAAGCGCCGGGGCCGGTCTGCGAAGCGGCGTCTCCTGTCCCCGGTCCTGCTTCACCTCGAGCCCTCTGCTCGTGCCCAGCAGCTCCAGATCGGAGCCGGCTCCGGGGGCAGCGACGGCGGGCACGGGGACGCGGCTGCACGCATAGGACACAGATCTGCACTGCAGGAAGGGACAGGCACTACAACCAGGGACACCTTTATTAAAAAAATACAGATCAGACACTTGTCATTACAGCGATGACCCGAGCCAGGACATCACACAAATATCTACACCAAGAACCGTGAGGACACCCGAGGAAAGGCGGAGGGGCTGGGGCACCCCCAGCTCGGCTAGGCTCAGTCGAGGCTCAGCCTCTCCCGGTTCTCCCACAGCCACGCGTGGTACACGTTCAACTTGTGGTCCTGTGGCTGCACCTGGAACACAGGGAAAGTTCTAAAACACCTCATCACTGCAACACTGTGAGTGTTGGTTTTCTATTCCCAGGGGTCGGTGGACACAAGCCCGGACCTGCCCCTGCGGTGCCCACCTCCTTCCACTCGTTGACGCAGAAGATCCTGTAGGAGTCGTTGCCGTACTTGCCGATGCCGTGCAGCTCGATCGGGTACCGCCACCGCTTGCTCAGGTACTCACCTGCAAGGCAGGGCACAGCTCTCGGGCACCCCCTCACCTGCACCAGGCACAGGGAGCACCTGGGCAGAACTCTCCTTCTGTGCCAGTGGAACACGGCTCCACTTTGGTACATTTCAAATAAAACTCCAAGTTTTAGGTGTTTCCTGGTGAATGCAGGCCATGAATCCCCACAGGTACATCTTAAGCACTTTTTCAACAATTCACCATAGGAGAGTTTCAGTCACCTCTCTCTCCTCAGAACAAAGTATTCCTCTGCAGGTTCTGAGTTTAGAAAATATTAGAATCATAGAGAAATTCCACTGGAAGGGCCTTCTGCAGGTCATCAGAGCAACCCTGAGCAGAGCCATCCTATCCCAGTGCTGCAAACATAGCAGCAGTGCTGCCGGTGTTGGGTCTCCTCTACTCCAGGAAATCTCCTGGTCTCCTGCACAACTCCCCCTGGCTCGCACTTCCCTCCCCATTCAGACTGGGATCAGCAGCTCAGCCTGTGTGACACTAACAGAGCCCAAATGATGCACAAAATAACCCACTAGGTCACCAAACTGCCAAACAGAGGAGAAGCCACAGAGCAGTATTTGGATTGAAGCCATTTGCCTTTTGCCAGCGTAAGAGAGACCATTCCAGGTATCAGGAAAACCCACCTGAGAACCTGATGATGGTTTTGGCTCTGAGTTCGTAGAGGCCGAGAGGTTTGAGCAGCTCTGACATCTCTTTCCAGTCTGCAGCCCTGGCTACCTCAGGAGAAGGGTACTTCTTCAGGAACTCCCAGAGCACTGGAATTGCCATTTTCCCTGGTGAAAGAAGCCTGTGAGCAGAAGGCTGGGCCAGGAATTCTCCTTCTGCATTATCCAAGTGCTTTCTTAAGTGAGCTTTTCCAAGGCAAGAGTTACCAACTAAAGATTGTTTCATGCTGATGTGAGTTAATATACAACTATTCTTTCATTAATGCCATTAGAACTGGCATCAGTTTTATCCCTGCAACACCTCCCAACATTCACACAACACCAGCTCCTGCTACTCCGCTTACCTGAAGTTTTATTGAGAAATATGGTGGCAATGAGAAGCTTCCATGGATCATGGAAGAGCGTTTCTTGGACCAGATTGAAAGGAGAACGTGGAGGGGTCCATTTTTTGAGGGCTTTCCTTCTGGGTGGGTTGGGGGCTGTACAGAGGCAACACAGAAATATTTATTGGTCAGGAAAGGACAGATTTACCTATTTAGTTAAAAAAGAAAAATTAAAATTAAGACCTTGGAAGCAGATTGATCTCTGTGGGGGCACTGTGTGTGGATGGAGCCATGGCAGTTCCCACACAGCCTTTCCAAGGCTGCAGGGGACTGTGTCCCCTCTGGCACAGTTGCAGCCAGAGCCAAGGCTGCCAGCCTCAAACTGCAAGGCATTTGCCAGAACATCACTTAACCCTGAGCCATCCTATCCCTCCCCCATAAAAAAAAATACATTTCCCTAAAGAATACAATACCTTCTTTGCTGTATTTACTGGAAAAATATGGACTTGTTTTCCTTCTCTCCACTTGTGTTCGTGGGACAGACTCTTCTGTAAAGAAATAGAACCTCAGCATTAGGAAGAAGAACCAACACACCACTTTATGCTGCGATGGAAACAGAAGAAATTTTTGTCATGCACAGAACACACACATGCCCTAGATCCCCTGCAGGTCTCACACTGTAGAGCTCGAGAGTTTGGAACAGAAAGTCCCAGGTGTGACTAAATCTGCATTAAGTTAAATGCTGTTGGATAAAGAAATGAGACAGTTTTCAACGTTAGAGCAGGTCAACCCAAAACAGAACACCTGGCTCAAACAGTCAGGACACCCTGGCAGAAGGTGAGGGCTGGGGTCACATTCTGCTCACACACACATGTACCTGGTGCCCCTCTGACAGTTGTGCAGCTCGTCCTGTCCCACAGCTCAGCATCCGCCTCGGTGTTGGATTTAACATCCTGCTTACCCACAGGCCCCCCATCTGGCTCCTTCCCTGTCTCCAGTCCATGGGATTTCTCCTCAGCTGGGTCACTGGAGCCTGTCCCCACAGGACCCTCCTCTGGCAGGTGCCCCAGGTCCCTCTGCGAGCCAGCAGCCACTGACCTCAGCCGTGTGCCTGCCTGTGCCCTGGACACTGCTGACAGAGCTTTGCCTGCACCCACAGGCTCAGCACTCGCATCACCCACACCCTGGCTGTCAACCCCACTCCTGTCTGTCTGTCTACAGAACCTCTTGTTCTGAACACACTCGATCTGCCGTGTGCTACAGACTCTTCTCTGCCTCTTGCTCTGGGGGTCACCTTGGTTCCTCCTTTCTGAGCTCTTCGCAGGTTTTCTACTCTGGACACTTTTCCCACCTGCCCCCTTCCTTTTTGTTTTCAAACCCTTCTCTGGGTCTGTGCTATCCATGACCAAATCTGTGCTCTCCAAAGTGGATGTAACATCTTCCAGGTGTCCATTCCCAGTGTGGATGTTCTCAATTCCATCCTTGGACCCATTCTGCGCACAGAGCTCCTGCACTTGGCTGTGACAATCGTCCTTCTCCAGGTCAGTCCTCGCAGCTCTTGTGCTGCATCCCCTCACCCCCGAGCGTGTGCTTCCCCGAGGAGCTGTGAAATCAAAATCTGCTGCTTTCAGTGTTGTCTCCCCAGTTTTCTGAAAATACTCCACAAGCGCTCGTTTCGACCTCAGCTTCTTCCCTTCGGGGCTGCGGTAGGAAAGGAAAGTAAATTAGTGACTTGTTCATTCTCTTGCTTTTTGCTGAAAAACTTATGGTACATTAAAAAAAAAACAAAAACAAATAAGGACAGAAACAGTTGTTGGGGCGCGTTTGTGTGGCTCGGTCAAGAAAGGCCAGACAGAGCTACGGCCCCCAGCCTCACCTGACAAAGCACACGTCGATCCTCCCGGCCGTCCTGCCCGCCCGCCTGCGGCTGCTCACCCGCTGCCACCCGCGGGGAACGGCGCTGGGCCCCGCCGGGCCGCGGGGCCTGCAGGGGAAGGAGAGCCCGGGTGAGGCCCTGCTCCGGGGGGGCCCGGGGGCGGCGGATCAAGCCTGGGCCCGAACCAGAGCCCCACATAGTCCCAGGAGCCAGCTCGCCCCGGCCCCGGCCCCGGCCCCGCTCCCGGCCCGTCCCGCCGTTACCCGCCCGCCGCTCCCGCCGCCACCATTTCCCGCGCCCCGGTCACGTGACGTCCCGCGGCCCGTCCGGCGCGCGCGCCCCCCGGCAGCGCCCCCTGTCGCGCCGGCGGCCCCCGCGCGCAGGCGCGTTGCCCGTGGCGGCCGGCGCGGTGCGAGCCCGGGCCGAGGGGCCGTGAGGGCACTGCGGGCCCGGGCCCTGAGGGCGGTGCGGGCCCGGCCATGCGGGCCGCGCTCACCTGGCGCGACAGGGCCGAGCAGTGGTGAGCGGCCCCGGGGACACCCGGTGTGCGGGGCGGCAGCGCGGGGGCGGTCCCGGAGGTTCTCTCGGGAGTCAGACCCACCCTCGCCGTGCCTTTACCAGTGTCGGCTGTGTGGCACCTCCGATGCTCAGGGAGTGTGTTTTCTGCCTCCTAAGACGGGGTTTTTGGTTGGTTTGTTTCCCTCAGTATTTACGACCTCGCGTTCAAGCCGGATGGGACCCAGCTTATAGTTGCTGCTGGAAACAGGCTGCTGGTAGGGAAACCTTCCTGTCCTCTCTCCTCTACAGCTGTATGAACGTGATTTCTTCCACGTTAACTTATGAATATAACCTATCCGAAATCCCCTTATCTCTGCCAGCCCAGCCTCACAGCCACATACATATTAATGCGGGCCAACTCTAAAGTGATTTGAAGCTTTTTAATATTTCTTACCAAGTTTTAAGCTCTATTTCCAAAAGTAATGAGATTTAAGTTATTTGCATCATCTCGTCCTCTCGTGCCTCGCCCGAGGTTTGAAATCCATGAACCTGCCCCCGGGCCTGGCACAGAGCACGGAGTGCAGGGGCTGTGCTGGTACAAGTTTCACTAAAATCTCTGGGGGAAGGGGAGAGACTCAAATCCATGTCCCGGTGTTGTGGGAACCTTCAACCCGAGCTGTTTGTGGGACCCTGGAGCTGCTGCAAGAGCAGATCCGGACCAGCTGCTCACAGGTCCTGCAAAGCTTTCAGGTGGGGCAGGTGTAGGAACTGCAGGGAAGGGTGGATTGTAGAGTTCAGCACTGCAGGACAGCAGGAGTTATTTTCAGTGCTCACAGAATGGTGCATTTAGTGATGCCCCTTTGCAGTAATTTATTACCTTTAACCATCTAATGTGGAGAAAGATGTTTAACAACAAGATGTAAAAGATGAAAATAAAAGATAAAAAACAGTAAGATGTAAAACAAGCTGCCAAATGAGCTGGTGGGAAATCTCTTTTGTGTGTGTAATTTTCTAGTACTGATTCTTCTTTCCTCACAAGAAGTATCATGTTATAGAAAGCTGCTTCTATGCTTGACAACATTTTGTCTTGCATGAACTGTGTACTATGCAAAAATCAGGTACAAAAGGAAGTGCATAATTTGTTGTCCCTCAGTAATTTTAAATTCACAGTCCTCACCCTAGAAGTGTTCAAGGCCAGGTTGGACAGGACTTGGAGTAATGTGATCTAGTGGAAGGTGTCCCTGCCCATGGCATGGGGGTGGAACAGGATGAGCTTTAAGGTCCCTTCCCCTCCAAACCAGTTTGTGGTTCTGTGATTCACTGGAAGATTTTTTCATATAATTTCTTCTGTTTGTATATTTGATTTGGTTTTTTTCTCCCCATTTAAACAGGTATATGATACTTCTGATGGAACCCTAATTCAGCCTTTGAAAGGACATAAGGACACTGTGTACTGTGTGGCTTATGCCAAAGATGGTAAATATCCTTTGGGGCTTTGTTAGTCTGGTTTGTGAAGTGCATCTCTCCCATTTGTTATTGCCCATTGAAAACGGAGAAATGGGTGTTGTTTCGGTCACAGCATGTGAGTGCTGGGGTTTATTCTTTAGCAAGTGCTGGGGTTTGTTCCTCAGTGGAGGGTTCAGTCTGCTATACAAGGTGCTGGCTGTAAGGTCGCTTGGGAATCCAAGAGCTGGGGTCCCACTGCTCCTTCCACTTCAGTTTAAGTTTAGTACTGGTTAAGTGTATATTCGTGGGTAATGTGAGGAGGGGGTTCGCCCCAGACATCCCTCTTTCTACTACTCACCTTTTTTTCCATAGTTCTATTCTGGAGCTTTCTGATCTGATCCTTCACACGTTACCTGCTCACTGCAGACCCCCCTCTGCTTCCAGCTCTGTCATGGTCTCTGACTCTCATTCTGTGGGACTCACTCTATGGGCTCAGGGGGCTTCCTGCAGCTGCTGCTGTTTGAGTGATGGGTGTTCCTGTGACAATGTACCCATTTTCCTTGTCACTGTTCCCATGGGGCTGGCAGCACTGGAAGGTCGGGTTGCTCACAGGGCTGTGGGAAGGGTGCAGTACAGCCATTGGAGTTCCACGTGGCTGGGGAAGCGCCGGCACATCCAGGCACTCAGTGTCAGCCCCTTTATTACTTGAGCCTTGTCAAGTTCAAGAACTTCTTGCTCTCTCTTTGATTGAGTATTGGGAGTGAAAGTGATTTTTGTACATGTGGGATTTAAATGATCTCCAATTCCTAGGCAAGCGTTTCGCATCTGGCTCTGCTGATAAAAGTGTGATAATTTGGACTTCAAAGTTAGAAGGAATTCTGAAGTACACGTAAGTGATGCCATTCAGTTCTGTGCTTCAAAAGCCAATTTTGATTATGCACTGCTGCTCTCAAAGAGCACGAGCTGTTAGACTTGGAGAAAGTTCATGAAGGTCAGAGGAAATGCCAAGGGTGGTAGGGGAGGGAGGAGGAAAAGAACAGTTGAAGTATCTGAATGAGGCAGGAAAGCAATTAAGGGGATAAAAGTGGGTGGAGAGTCGAAATAAATCTCTGAGTTTAGAGGGCTGGTAGAGAACTGGGGAAACTCAGAATAGGTCAGAATAAAATGAAAGACAATGTGACCGTTCTGGTATAATATACCACAATTCTGGTTCAAAGATCAAATTAAAGATGGATTTGGTACTTTTGGTATATTTCAATCTCCTGGCTCTGTGTTTATATCAGCCCTCTGAAGTGACAACTCACGTTCTGTTTCGGACTGCACATTTATCACGAGTTGGTTTGCACGAGCTGGTCGCTGCACAGAGCCTGCATGAGCACACTTGGTTTAGAATTTGGATACAACATTTAGTCATATTTCACAAACCACTCTTGCTCTACAGTTTTAGCTAATCTTGATGAAATACACTGTATCCTGCCACTTGGAGACGATTTTTGTAAGGTTTATTACGGATTTACTTCACAGTAATAACAGATTAACTTGATGTACTATAAACCAATCCAGTTATTTTGGCATCTGGTAAAGCTTTCAGCTCTCTTGCTGAAAGTCAGAAAAGGGGCATTTAAGAATGATTTATTGAAATCTGATTTTAACTTCATTCTAGGCATAATGACTCTATCCAGTGCATTTCATACAATCCTCTCACTCATCAGCTGGCATCCTGCTCGTCTGGGGATTTTGGTATGTCTTTTCCCTTGAACTTTTCCATTGAGCCAGTGAATTCCATTACAGTTGATAGCTAAGCTAGCCACAGATAGGTACAGCTCTGTATCTGCAGAAGAGATGTGACACAAAGCTATCTAAGGCTCAGTGACATTGGATACTGATTTAAATCACTTAATCTCAGTGGGAAAGGCCAGTGTAGTGAGGGGCCACAGGATGAAACATGCTGCTCTGTTATTACTGGAATTTTTTGCAAAGACACCCTCTGTTATTTAGATGGATTTTTTTCCCATTTACTGATAAATAATATATATTTAAGTGTCCTTCTAGCAGTGGACAAGACTTTGATGCCTTTGGAGTCCCAGCCAAGTTCTCCAACAATATTAGTTTCCAGTCTGAACTCTGGCTCATGCTTATTTGTCATTGGCTTCTTGTTTGTTTTTATCAAGGCTTGTGGTCTCCTGAACAGAAGTCAGTCTCTAAACATAAAACGAGCTGCAGGATCACCTGCTGTAGGTAAGCTTTAAGGATTACCTTAAGTCATTTAAGTTAGTTTCAATACAAAACATTCCAAATAAGATGCAAGCTTAAAAAAACCTGGTTTCCCCCCCCTTCTTTTTCAATAGCAAAATTTTTGGGTTTTATTTTGTTCTGTTTATAACCAAATTCTTCTGAAAGCATCAGAGAGATGTTCTAGTCTCGAGCAAGTGTCTTAGGTTCTCTGTCCCTCTGTTTTTCCATCTTGTACAATAACAATAGAATTAAATTAGAGGAAAAATAATTGCAATTTTTGTTTGTAAAGTTGTTCATCCTTTGTGCTGTTGGTGTTTTCAGTTGAAGGAGGTATTACTGTTGGGGGCAACCTGAAGCAAGGGTTCATTAGTTGAAGTTATCCATCTATCCAGTACTCTGTCCAACAGAGAACAGATTAGACCCCAGGCCCCCTCTGTCCCACACCAGGCAGTTCTATCTGATCAGGTTCTAAATGTGGTTTTTAAAGCATTCTGGTGTGCTGCCAACACTGCCATCCCCAAAATGGATCTGTGACTTAGCACATGTTACAAGTGTTGCAAGCAGATGATAGCTTTAATTTATTTTTTTATTTCTGTGTATATGATAAAGTGTTCTCGATGTAGTGCATGCTGTTGCCATAAATGTGGATTTAGACGCATAAACAAACTGTAGATTTACTGGCTACCTCTCAGAACTCCCTCTTAGAAATATATTTGAATCTACCATCCCTGTGTGAGTGTGCTGTACCATCCTACCTTCCTGCTGCTTGTTTGTAGTAGTTTACTGTTCAATATGTGTGTGTTTTCTCAGCTGGACAAATGATGGCCAGTATCTTGCTTTGGGGATGTTCAACGGCATTGTCAGCATAAGGAACAAAAATGGTGATGAGAAAGTAAAAATAGAACGTCCAGGGGGTTCCTCCTCTCCAATATGGTCAATTTGTTGGAATCCTTCCAGGTAAATAATTTCATCCTTGCTTTTTTTTCATGCTGAATAGATAATCTGTGGCTCATTGATTGCAGAAGGGCTTGACTTTTATCCTTGATGAAACATGCCATGTACGTTACCTTTTTTAAGTGATCATATCTTGGGGTTTTGGCTTTGCTGCCAG